CCCTCCCGAGTGTCCAATTCTCTCCCAGCTTGTGCTTTGCTTTGGGGGGCTCCACCGGTGCGCACTCTCTGCAGAGTGGGGGTGAGCCCGAGCCTCCCGCCGGCCCTGCTGGCCTCTCCCCACCCCTCCTCCCACTGCTGAGAGACCCGCCCCTCGGTTGGGTCTCTCCGAACTCCACATTCTTTCGTGTGAAATGGGCTGAATCCAGTGGGTCCTGGACAGGCTTGCATTTTGCACATCTTATCACCGCGTGTCTCCCCGATGCACCCCGGCTCCCGTTCTCCTGTTCTCTCTCCTGAGGCCTTGCGGGGTGAGCAGGTGTGAGGGCCCCCCTGGGCCTCGGAGCCCCCTCTGCCCGCTGCATTTTATTGCTATTTCTTGCGGGGGAGGGTGGCGGAGAATCACTCCTGGCGGTGCTGGGGGGTTCTGTGCTGGTCGGGAGATGGAAACCACAGTTTGTTGCGTGCACAGTGAGTGTGGCAGCCTCCACGCCACCTCTGCCCGCCGTTCCCCCCACCCCCAGGGAGTCGGGGGTTCCCCACGTCTTTTCAAGGCAGGCGGTTCTGGTTTCCAGAGCTGAGTGAATGTCAGCCAGCCGCACTCCCCCAGAGAGGCCGGGGGTCCTGCTGTGGGTGCTGCTGCGGGGGCGGGGTACAGCCCCCCTTCTCTCCCAGCCCCCTTCCCCGGTGCCCTTCTGGCCTCTTTGGGGCGCCAAGAGAGATGGGGGTCGCAAAAAGCAAGGGGGTCGCTCCCTCTTCCCACAGCGTGTGCTCCAGCAAGAAGGGTTTTTTTTTGGGGGGGGGTTGTTTGTTTTGCTTTTTGAGTCACACCCGGCGATGCTCAGGGGTTCCTCCTGGCTCTGCACTCAGGAATCACTCCTGGCGGTGCTCAGGGGAACCATATGGGATTCCGGGGATCGAACCTGGGTCGGCTGTGTGCAAGGCAAACGCCCTCCCCGCTGTCCTCTCACGCTGGCCCCAGCAACAGGGCTTTAAGCCAAGGAAGTGTCGGAGAGTCGGGGACGCAGGGACTGGGGGGGGGGGTGGCTTCTGGGGTCGGCTGAACCTTCCTTCCCCCATCCCGCCGCCTCCTGCAGCAAGTGAGCCGGGATTACAGCTCAGCGCTCTGCAGAAGGTTCCAGGGGCATGTGGGCCCTGCGGAAGTGTCAGTGTTTACCCAGGCCATTCCCCAGGCCTCCCGCTGACTTCGTGGCCTGTTACCTGAGCTCCTGAGTGAGGCCGGGAGGGCGGCCCCTGGGCCCTTCTCTGTCTGACCTGGAGCTGGTTCCCACGGCAGCGGCTCTGGAGGGTGACGGGCCCCACCCTGCGGCTCCCTACCTGCTTTGTTCCCCGTCTAATCCTTGTGGGTGTCCCAACACGCCCAGGCCCTGTCCCCTCCCTCTCCTGCAGCTGCTTGGGGGGGGCGGGGAAAGGGGGAGGCACAGGGGGCCATGGGAGGGGGGCGGCCGGGTCCCTCCCGGGCTCTGCCCAGCTACCCCCCCTTGGCCTGGTACACCTTGTCCCTCCCGCCCCCCCCCCCCCCGCCTCCGGGCCTCCTCCGCCCAGTGTTGGCGTTGCAGGGGGCACGTGCGGTGCCAGGTACCTCCGCGCGGCTCAGTCTCCCCGAGCACTTGCCGCTGCTCTCTGCTCTGGCTGGGTTTGGGCTTGGGGGGGCGGGGACGGGGGTCACACCTGGCCATTGCTCCTGACTCTGAGCTCAGGGTTCTTCCAACCAGAGGGGCTGCTGGGCTGGGACCTGGCCAGCACCCGCACGGCCCTCCTCACCCCGTTTCTCCCCCCCCCATGCCAGGGCCGCCCCACCCCCCGGACCCCCTGTCTCCTTGGGGGCTTCAGGGGGCAGCGGGATTTCCCTGGAAGCACCGCTTGCTCTTTCTTGGGCAATGATTTCCGGTCGCACCGCTGTCCCTATCTGGCCATCAGCTCGGTGTGGCTTTCACTCCAGGGCCATGGTGGGCGTGTCGGCTCGGCCGCCGTTGCCCTGCGCTGGAGGGAGCCGGAGTGCGTGGCGGGCTCAGGACGCAGCCCCACGCCGGCACTTGGAGCAGCGGCCAGCCTCACCCAGCCTCACCCCTCATGCCCCCGATGCCCGCTGCACCCCCCCCACCCGCGCTGCCAGCAGGGCACGGCCCCTCCCCCAACACCTTCCCCACCCTGGTTATTACCCGTCTTGATTATAGTCATCCAGGTGCTGGCGGGTCTGCACTCCCCCGGCGCTGACCTGCGCGGCACTGGGTTCTGGCCAGCGGTCTTATCTCCTTGGCAGAACTGCCGAGTCAGAGCGCTTCCCCGGGTGTTTGGGGGCGGGAGGGAAGACTCCACTCCTGGCCGTGTGGACGCCAACACTCCCGTCCATGAAGCAGACCCTGATTCTCCGGCCCCCGGCCAGCCCTGGTGTAGTTGGGGGTGTTGTTTTGTGGGTTTTTTTTTCTTTTTGGGTCACACCCAGCGATGCTCAGGGGTTCCTCCTGGCTCTGCGCTCAGGAATGGCTGCTGGTGGTGCTTAGGGTGTGCCACATGGGAAGCTGGGAATTGAATCTGGGTTGGCTGTGTGCAAGGCAAACGCTCTCCCAGCTGTGCTATCGCTTCAGCCCCTGGGGGGCAGGGAGGTGTTTTGTGGTTGAGTCGTGAGTGTTCTCTGCGCTGGCTGTCCATCCGTCCTCCGACATCTGTCCCTCCCTTCCCTGCGTGGCGGACGCAGCTCGTTGTGTCGGCTCACCCTGCGGTGCCCCCTCAGAAACCGTCCCCTCATCCCAACCGTGAAGATCCATCTACGCTCTAAGACCAACAGGTTTGACTCTTAGATGAGCAACACTGATCTTTGGTTTATGCGGGGTGATCCCCGGGAGCCGAGAACAGCACCCTCCCCCCCTCCCTTCCCTTGCCATCTGTGTCCAAGAGCGCTGTTGGGCCTGGTCCCATCCCCGACCCCCCCACCATGGCCCCCAGATACCGGTGGGAGCAGCCTCCAAGCACAGAGCCGGGAGCCTCCGAGCGCTCGCCTTATGGGCAGCGGCCCCCAAAGGGAAAATAGAGAAGAAATGAGTGCACGTCTCCGCACGGGCGCCCCCCATTGGTACTCGGGTGGTGGTGGAACTGTGAAGGCTGTGTGGCCTTTATGTGGAAAAGGCCACACTTCCTGGTCTCCACCGTGGCTGCTGCCTGGGGGACGTTTGGAAACGCCGCTGCCCGGTGTCACTCTCTTGGATTCTTGCACTTCCTGGTCACATGAATTCCCAGATAAGACTCAGGATCAGGTCCGCCACTGCTGGCTGGGAAGCCGGGGTGATCAGGATTGGGGGGAGAGGGGGGAGTTGGAGTTGCAGGTCCCCGGAACTGGGAGTCATTTCCACTTTGGTCTCCAGCCCTGAGTGGCCCCATGACCTTAGTCGTTCGGGGCTGCTAGCATGTCTGCAGTGCGCGGGTTCCAGACTCCGCCCTTTGCCCTCCGCGACGGGCCGTTGCTGACTCGCCTGTGGTGTTGTTTGCTAGGGCTCTGGTTTCCTTCTGGAAGCTCCCATGCACGTTTGCGACTGGGGGGGGGGGGGTGTGAACTCCAGAGGAACCGAGGGCGCCGCCGCAGCATTACAGGGGTCCTGGGGCAGAGCCCACCGCACTTTGTATGTCGGGGCCGGAGCCACAGCGCAGCGAGGACGCTTTGGCCTTGCACGCCGCGACCTGGAGTTGGTCCCGGCACCCCACCCGGTTCCCCGAGCTCGCCAGGAGTAAGCCCTGGGTACTGCCGGGTGTGGCCCCCAAAGCCCAAACAGAAGAAGCCACATGGGAAGATGCGGGTTTGGTTCTTCCTTTCTTCTGCCGAGACCTGTCTTCCTCCTCCTCCTCCTCTTCCTCCTCTGTGCAGCCAGGCTGGCACACGCCGGGGCTCGGTGATGCCAGTGGGAGGGCAGAGCCAGCTTAGTTGGTTTGTGTGTTGCTAGGCGGCCCCCCTTCCTTGGCACCCGCTCCCAAGGGCCCCCAGCCTGTGTGCCAGGGCCAGGGAGATGCGCTCCCCCGCTCTCTGGCCGAGCCCAGGTCCCCAGCGTTAGGGTCTCGGGGCTGTGGGTGGCAGGAGCCCGTCCTCCGACCAGTGGCTGGACGCTCTGCCCGCTCAGCTCCTCCAGACCCCCTGGCTTCCTTAGCAGGGACCCCTCTCACCCCCGCGCCCCCAGGCCTGGTGAGGGGTTACAGGAGGGTTCACGGGGCACCACTCACCCCCCCACCCAAGACCCCCATCGAGCCGTCCCCCCCGCCACACCTGACTTGTCGTTGAGGCCTGAGCTGCAGGTCATCTACCCGTGCTGGTCACCTCCCGCCCTGGTGACTCTGAGTCACTGCGCCACCTGCCCTTCCTGCTGCCAGGCCTCCCGGCTTGTATCCGCCCAAGGACGGGGTCTGGGGCGGGCCCTGGCTGGTTGTCCAGCAGGGTTCAGAGGTCCCCAGGTGGTTGTGAGAAGCAAACGGGGCGGACCGAGGTCATGGGACCAAGGACTGACGCCCACGCACGCTCCGTGGCCAGAGTCGCAGGGAGTGGGCCCGGGCTCCCCTGGGTGTGGCACAAAACCCACCCCAGGAAACCTGGAGAAGCCCCCTGGGAGGGGTTGCCTCTAGCCTGTGGAGGTGGTGCCTGTAGGTGGGTCAGACAGACAGACAGACAGACACACACACACACACACACACACACACACACACACACACACCTGTCTTGGACAATACTCTCCTGTGTGGTTTTTGTTTTAGGGGGGCACCTCCCCCCCCCACCTGTGATTCTCAGCCAACCAGTTGACCAGTTCAGCATCTGGGCCGGAGGATAAGGTGCTGCTGAGACCTGCGGGGTCAGGGGTCAGGGGAGCCACACCTGCCGAGCTGGGGGCGAGCAGCTGCCGTCTCTGATGGCCGTTCCCGCTGTGGAAATGGCCCCCGTGGGACGCTCAGCGGGAAGCACCACCCACTGCCACTCACCCACCCACGTCTTCCCGCCCGCAGGGAGGAGGTGCAGGAGAACTGCGTGCGCTGGCGGAAACGCTTCACGTTCGTGTGCAAGATGAGCGCCAACCCGGCCACCGGCCTGCTGGACCCCTGCATCTTCCGGGTGTCTGTGCGCAAGGTGAGGGCCCCCAGGCTGCAGGGGCCAGGGAGGGAGGGAGGGGGAGGGGATGGGCAGTGGGTCTGGGGGGCCGAGGGGACCGATGGGCCCTGGTCACTGAGCCTCTGTCTCCCCATGCAGGAGCTGAAAGGCGGGAAGGCTTACTCCAAGGTGAGTGGGGCCGCAGGCCGGGGGGGGGGGGGACGGGGGGGCGGGGATCACCTGTGAGAGGAGCCCCCAGAAGGAAGGGTGGGGCCCCCCCTCCGGAGAAAGCCGCGTTTTCTGGAAAAGTCTTTGTGGACTTGAGCGAATAGGCCTCACCGGTCGGCTGTAACCCGTGAGCCACAGAAACTTGTGGGATGGAAACTCCTCCTTCCCCAGGCCCCGCTGCCTCAGGTCCTGAGGGCCCGTGTGACAGGCGCACAGAGTAGCGAGTCCCCTCTGGGTGCAGGGAGACAGACACGGGACAAGCCAGGAATCCCCCGAAGGGTCTGAATGTGCTGTGACATATGGGCCTCAACATCCCCACTGTCACCTGCCCCCAGCTCAGCTAGGGCGGTGGGACCCAGCACGGGACGCCCCCCAGACCCCCCGCTGTTGCTGGGTCTCTCCTGCTCCCACACTCAGACCTTGTCCTGGGGGAACCTTCACCCTAGGCACGTTAGGGGGCTGGGCCAGTGCCGGGGGTGGGGGGGTGCCCTCAACTGCCCTGCCTGGGACACGGCCCCTCTGAGCACTGGCGGGCTGGGAGGGGACCCGGTCCCCATCATCCCCACAGCCAGTCCCCACTCCCACATGTCACGGTCGGGCGTCTGCCTGAGCCCCCCTCCCGCTTCTCCCGGGCCAGACCCACACCCCGTTATCCCGGCCCCTTCCTGGACCCCAGGCCCCGCCCCACCCCCTCCCGCTGCCCGCCCGCCCGCCCGTTCCCGCCGCAGCTCCCACAGCCCGGCCTTGTTCCTGGGGACAGTGCGTCTGTGTCAGGACAACAGTGTCCTTTCATCTCCGGCCCCGCACAAAGGCCGCTCTGTGTGTCCCAGCGCTGCCTGCCGGGGAGCCTCCCGCGGGGGGGTGGGACGGGAGGCAGCCCCCAGCCATGGGATTGAGCCCTGTTCCCTGTCGCTCCCCCCCCCCCCCGCACCCTCCAGCTGGGCTTCGCGGACCTGAATCTGGCGGAGTTCGCGGGCGCCGGCTGCACCGTGCGCTGCTGCCTGCTGGAAGGCTACGACACCAAGAACACGCGGCAGGACAACTCCATCCTCAAGGTTCGCACCGGCAGGGCCTGCGGGTGGGGGAGGGCGAGGCGGGGTGTGGTGAGACTGACCCCTCCGCACACACGCAGGTCACCATCGGCATGTTCCTGCTCTCGGGAGACCCCTGCTTCAAGACGTGAGTGCTGGCCCATGCTGGGGCGGGGATGGAGGTGGGGGTGTCAGGCTCTGACCTGGGCGCCACAGGCGACCCACCCGCTCCTCCCTCCCCAGGCCACCGTCCACTGCCAAGTCCATCTCCGTCCCGGGCCAGGACGCCTCGCTGCAACTGACATGCAAGGGGGGCGGCACCAGCTCGCTGACAGGCTCCCGGCCCCCCAAGGCCCGGCCCACCATCCTCAGCTCAGGTACCTGACTTCGACTCCCGCGTGCGGACCCCGGGACTCAGGTCTCAGCCGTGGCCACAAGGGCTCAGGAGGGTTCCGGGAGGGGGACTTGGCGGGCAGGGGTCCCCGGAACCACTCCCAGCCATGGGGTGAGCTGAGCCTGGTGGGTGCGCACCGCCGCCCCTCCCCCCCCCCGCCACTGTGTCCAGTGCTGGTCTGGGAAGGGAGGGCCCCAGAATGGGAGCTTTGCTCGGACCCTAAACCCACAACCAAACAGACCCAGGGGTCCCGGGGTACCACTGGTCTCTCCGCTGCAGGGCCAGGGCTCGCTTCACCACATGGTGGGCGTGCACACCTCAGAAGGGGGTGCCCTTCCCCCCGTGGGACGGATGGTGGGCACCCGGGAGCCGGGGGTGGAGGTTGGGCCTGTGGGGTGGTCAGGAAGGCCTCACCAAGGCCACCACCTCCAGGAAGGCTTCTGGGGATCCCAGAGCAGGTCTCAGCCTGGACTCCCAGCTCCCTGCTCTGTACCACTCCCCCCGCCCCGTGCCAGTGAGGGGGGGCTTTCAGCTGGACCTTCTGTGACCCCGTCTCCCACGGGGGCCCCCACAGAGTGAGTCGTGCCAGGCCTGAGAGCACCTATGGGGGGGGCCGGCCACTATTTCCCATTCCCCAGTTCTGACCTGTTCCTTGGTCCCCCACCCGTGCCCCCGTGAGGGCCTGGTGAGGCTAGTGGGGGGGGGCTGCTAACCGAGGCCCCCTCTGCCCCCACCCAGGGGTGTTGGAGGAGCCAGACCAGAACCTGTCCAGCCCGGAGGAGGTGTTCCACTCCGGCCACTCCCGCAGCTCCAGCTACGCCAGCCAGCAGTCCAAGACGTCCGGTGAGTACCCTCCCCCTTCCCCCGCCCCCAGCCGCCCGCCCTGGCCCCGCGCCCGGCCCTGACGCCCGCCCCACACACACACAGGCTGCAGCGCCGAGCACTCGCACTCCTCCAGCCTGTCGGACCTGACGCATCGCCGCAACACCTCCACCAGCAGCAGTGCCTCCGGTGGCCCCGGTGCCCCCGCGGACGTGCCCGACGGCGAGCGTGAGCACCGGCCCCCCGAGAAGCCGCCCCGGCCCCCGCGGCCCCCGCATCTCTCCGACCGCTCCTTTCGGTGAGTCGTTGGTCAGTGTGTGTGTGTGTGTGTGTGTGTGTGTGTGTGTGTGTGTGTGTGTGTGTGTGTGTGTCTCCACACACAGGCGCATGCGCACACAAAGCCCCTGGGCCGCTGACCCCTCCTCATAGGTCACTCGGGTGTGATCTCAGAGCACTGTGGCCCCAGATTCTGCCCGGCTTCGGGGTGGGGGGGTCTGAACCTGTAAACGCCCCCCCCCGAGGTCTCCACCCTGAGCCCCTTATTCCCAGCTGTAAACGCCCCCAACCAAGGTCTGTCCTTGCGCCCCCTTGCTCCCAGCTGTAAGCGCCCCTCCCCCCCCAGTTCTCACCCACCGCCTGCCATGGTGAAGTAAAGGCCCGAGTCCTCAGTCCACACCCCTTCTCTGCCTCCGGGTCTCATCCCAGTGCTCCCAGGCCCAGAAACAAGTCTGCAGGGCCCAGCCTGGGGGCAGGGTCAGGGGCAGGGGGTCAGCCCCCTGGTGAGCAGTGGTGTGGCCTCCAGCAGGTCGCCCCCACCTCCCGGTGTCCCCATCGGTGTCAGCAGATCATGGTAGCACCAGCCCTGTCGGGGCAGGGGCTTGTTGGGGGTTGCGCGCGTCTCACTGACCCCACCGCCCCGTGGCCATTGCCCCCCCAGGAGGAAGAAGGACTCGTCGGTGGAGAGCCACCCGCCGTGGGTGGACGACACACGCATCGACGCGGACGACATCGTGGACAAGATCATGCAGAGCCAGGACTTCACAGAGGGCAGCAACACGGAGGGTGCGGGCCCGGGCCGGGGTGCAGGTTGGGGTGTGGGTATGCGGGTAGGGGTGCCGTCCCCCGCACCCCACTCAGCCTCCGCCCACCCTTCTCCCCGCAGACAGCAACCTGCGTCTCTTCGTGAGCCGGGACGGCTCCACGACGCTGAGCGGCATCCAACTGGCCAACAGGTAGGGTGCAGCCCTGGGGAGTGGGGGGCCGGGGCCGGGTGGCCGTCACTGTGGCTCAGCACAGCCCCCTGGCCTGGTTTTCAAGTCCAGCTCTTCCTCTTGGCACTAGCAGGGGCCTTCACCTCTGGACCTCAGTTTCCTGCCTCACCTGGGACTTCCCCTTCCTGTGGACCTGCGCCCCCCCCCCCCCCCCCCCAGGCAGGCTGAGCCAACCAGGCGCCCTCACATCCGCTGAAGCCGGGGGCCTGCCAGCCTGCTGGTGCAGCTCTGCTGACCCCTGCTGGCCATAGCTGTGAATTGCAGCTGCCTTTCAAATTTCCTGCCCACCCCTCGGGGCTGCCCTGTGCCCTGGGCAGGGAAACTGAGGGCACCGCCATCCAGGGGCTGTCACCTCTGGTCGGTGCAGCAACACAGGGATGAAAAGGGCGGGTGGGGGTGGGGGAACAGGCCAAGGGCAGCGCTTGGGGTTTTCGTCAGCTCCCCTTCCTGCCACCCTGAAGATGCACTGTAGCACAGTCCTCCCGCTGTTCATCGATTTGCTCGAGGGGGGCCAGTAACGTCTCCATCATGAGACTTGTTTGTTGTTACTGTGTTTGGCATATCGAGATGTCACGGGGAGCTTGCCAGGCTTTGCCGTGCGGGCGAGATACTCTCGGTAGCTTGCCGGGCTCTCCGAGAGGGGCGGAGGAATCAAACCCAGCTTGGCTGGGCTGGCTACGCACAAGGCAAATGCCCTGCCACTGTGCTATCGCTCCAGCCCACCCTGAAGATGAGTAAACTAGATTTCCTTGTGGCAAAAATATCCCCCTTTTTTCCCCCTTTTTTGGGTCACACCCCGCGATGCTCAGGGGTTACTCCTGGCTCTGCACTCAGGAATTACTCCTGGCGGTGCTGGGGATCAAACCTGGGCCAGCTGTCTGTAAGGCAAACGCCCTCCCTGCTGGACTGTTGTTCTGGCCCCAAAAATCCCCTTTTCAAAGCAGCAAGTCTTAGCCGTGCCCCGGATATCCCCGTTCCACGGATGGGCCCGGTCTCCGTCGGGAACAAGCCCTGCAGCCTCACGACCCCAGACAGATTTCCCCACCCCACCGAGCCGGTTTCTCCCCCCACTTGGTCACCGTCAGTGTCCATGGCCGGGTCACACAGCACCCAGCACCCAGCCCTGCCTTCTGCCATGCAGAGCGACCAGTGGTGCCTTTCCACAGCGGCAGCTGACACGCATCTCCCCACAGGGTCTCCTCCGGGGTCTACGAGCCCGTCGTGATTGAAAGCCATTGAAGAGTGGGCTTCGGGACCCGTGGCCTGCCACGAGGGTCCTGCCTCTCTGGACGCCCACCCGCCGCATCTCATCCGTGCCTCTCCCACACTCCTTGCCCCCAGCATCATTCCGCCGTCCTCGGACCCTCCTGGGCCAGCAGCCCGGGCGCCACTGTGAATATTCTCCTCTGAACCACTAGAGGGCCGGTAATGGCCCCCAAGGAGCAGGCGGGCAGGACAGAGGCCAGCTCCGCCTTGCTGGACACTGGCCCGGCCCTCGGCAGGACGCACAGCAGCTTCTGTGGACTCATACTCCGCTCGCCCGAGCCCCCCGCCAGGAGCACCGGCCAGCAGGGCCTCACTCCACTGACCATTTGCCCTTGCGGGGCGAAGGGAACAGTCCACCCCTCCGGGTCCTGCCCCTGTCACCCTCTGCTTAGTGCTTCAGCTGCTCTTTCCCTGTGTCCCAGGGGACCCGCTGGCGGCCTCTTCCTGGGAGCCAAGACCTCAGATCCCCACCCCACCCCTGGTCGAGACACACACACACACCCCACCCCACCCCCGCTGCCCTGGCAGCCTGCACTTTGCACATGCCTGTCTCCAGTCACAAACCGGCCCTGCGGTCCCGTCCCGGGCCTGCCGCCTGCGGTGCGGTCGGCAGCCCGGCTGGAAGTGACGTCTCGTCCCGCGGGCTGAGCGAGGGGGCAGGGCCTCCTCTGCCAGGCTGGGTCCTGAGCAGCTGGTGTCCGGGGAAGCCAAGGCAGGGGCTTGGTGGTCGAGGCCGATGCATCTCATCTGACATGGGGGAGGCGGGGCCCTTCCCGGGGGAGGGGGTGTCCCCTGCCCCACTGCCCCTCCGCTGGCCGCACTTTCCCCTCCTTTGCTTGAAGGTGGGCCCCAGACGAACCCCCGCCTCTCCTCAGTCTTACTCTAGAAACCCAGCAGGCTGGTGTTGACTTAGCCGGAAAACCATTTTCTTCCCTTCCCCTTTTTTCTTTTTTTTTGGGTTTTTTTTTTTTCTTTTGACTTCACAGTTCGGTGTTTCCTCCTCCTCCAGATGAGAGGAGGTGATTCTGGCCTCCCCGCTGGCTGGCTCCCAGCAGGACTGGGGTCTGGGGCCAGGTGTTGGCGCTCTCTGTGGTGGGGGCGGCCAGGGCTACCGTCCCCAGGCTGGGAGGGGTCCTGGACCCTCCTGGCATTGGACCGGGGGGGCCCTCGGGTTTGTGTCACCGTCATCAATGTCGTTTTTAATCACCTAACTCTTCTAGAAGATAAACGTTAGAAGGTGCCTGCCCGGTGCCAGTCGGAGCATTTGTTCCCATCAGAGAAAGTTCTGGTCAGCTCTGTGGGTCTCCTGTCCTGCAGACCCCTGACAGTTTGCAGGGGAGCTGACCTCGGCTGTTTAGTGGAAGTGACTCTCAGAGGGGTTGAGGGGGGTGTCTGCATGAACTCAGCCTGGCTGGAAGGTGCAGTCAGGGTGAACTTGGGTTCTCAGAGTTCTGGGCCTGTATGCATAATCCATCTGGCGTTGGTGCTGTTGGGGGGATCCCCCCAAAACCAGGAACCACAAGCTTAAGCTCAGCTGCTCCCCTAAGAGATGAGCTCCCCCACCTTCCCACGCCACGCCCCGGGCCAGGGTCACTGAACTGAGAATTGAGCCACAACCAAATTCAGGCTGGCTGGAGCCCCAGCCTCCCCGCCCCAAAACCCTCAAACCCCAGGCCCTGGCTCAGTGGCTTCCCATGGGCACCCACAACTCCTGGACTTAAAGTTCTATAGAGACAAGAGACTATATTAGAGATATTTTTGGAAAGGAATTGGTCTATGCAATGTCAGTTTGGAATCTTCTTGAAAGACAGTTTAACGTTTTTACTAGGAGATTTAAAGAAAATAAAGGTCTACGATATTTTTTAGGCTTTTTTGTTGTTTGTTTTTTTACTGGTCACCCCACAAATGGGCCACAGGGCAGGATCTTTGCCAGAGTGGAGAAGCCCCTCTCCGTCATGGGGGTGGGTGGGGGGAGGCTTTTCTACTTTGTTGTCATGCCCCCCCCTCTTCCTGACATTATCACCACCCCCAAATCAGCAGACACTTCGTGTCTCTCTGTTCCAGCTTCTGCCGTAGAAATAACAGCGCCGGGGACGCGGTCTGGCATCTTGGTTTGGGGGATTAAATGTTGCCCTTCCGATTTTTATGGCTCGTGGTGTTTTGTGGCTTTATTTCGGCGTGTTGTGACCGGAGTCAGACAGCACGTGGGGAGGGGCAGGGCAGGTGACGGTCCCCACATGCTGGCTGCAATCCCAGCAGATTGCAAGGACACAGGTCACACACCCAGGAAGTGACGGCTCTGAACCCTGATCCCAGGGTCTGTGCTGCACGTGTCCCAGAAATCCGACGGAGAAACAGACGCCTGCACTCGCGAGATGGGCATGCGGAGAGCCTGCTCTGGTGGCGGATGCCAACTGGACCTGGCCAGCACCAGAACAGACCGCGCCTTGGACGCGGATTGCCGACAAGGAGCTCCAGGCTACCCCGGTTCTCATAGCACACACACACAGGGGTCGGTAACGGGTGGGCGGGGGCGAATGCATTTTTTTTTTGGTTCCCTGTTGGCATTTGCTGGTTGTTTCCGCGACCCCCGTTCTGCCCTGCCCAAGTGACCACATAGGTTGTACTCTTCCGCTACACAGTCACCTGGTGTCTGTGCCTCGGTTTCCCCAAGCTGCAAATGAACTTGGTGATCAAATGAGAAAGCAGGTGTTGGGCCTGACCATGGAGTGTCTCCCAGGCGTGCCTCCCACCCCGCAGACTCTGGCCCGGCGCCTGACCCTGCCGGACACCTGCTTCATAGGAGCAGGGTCCCCAGAAGCTGGACCCCTGTCAGCCCCAAAGCGACCGGGAACGGCAGGGACTGGACAAACGGGTCCAGCGAGGCGCTACCCTCTCCAGCTCAGTGCTGGCGCCCCCCTCGTGGCCCTTGAAGCGTCTCCACCCCTGGGAAGGGAAAACCTACCCTGGGGAAGACAGTGGGAGAAAGACCAAATGGGAAGTTCCTCTGAGTCTTAGGAGGGCAGCCCCCGTGGAGGTGGGGGTCCTGGGAGCCCTGAAGGCAGGTGCTAAAGGGAGCAAAGGCCAGGTTTGGATGTATCTGGAATCTCTTGCACGCACATACACATGGCAGGAGCCGGCGGTTTGGACTGGACCTCGATGTTGCATGCACGTGGCCTTCCTGAGGCTGTGCTGAGAAGCCCCGGACCTAACAAGTCCCTGATTCTAAAACCTGCTGAACAGGGCTGGAGAGAAGACCGGGGGAAAGTATTTGCCTTTCATAAGATGCAGCTGCCCCTCTGAGGTTTTTTTTTTGTTTTTTTTTTTTTTTTTTTTTTTGCTTTTTGGGTCACACCCGGCAATGCACAGGGGTTACTCCTGGCTCTGCACTCAGGAGTTAATCCTGGCGGTGTTCAAGGGACCATATGGGATGCTGGGAATCGAACCCGGGTCGGCCGCGTGCAAGGCAAACACCCTACCCGCTGTGCTATCTCTCCAGCCCCTGCCCTTCTGGTTTGAATTCCCAGCACCACATAGGGTCCCCTAAACACAACCAACTCCTGAGCACTGCAGGGTGCGTCCCCCAAATCCCAAAAGGGGAAAAAAGATCTTTTAAAAACTGGATGAATCGGGGCTGGAGCGATAGCACAGCGGGTAGGGCATTTGCCTTGCACGTGGTCGACCCGGGTTCGATTCCTAGCATCCCGTATGGTCCCCTGAGCACCGCCAGGAGAGATTCTGAGTGCAGAGCCAGGAGTAACCCCTGTGCATCGCCGGGTGTGACCCCAAAAAGCAAAAAAAATAAAAGAAGGCGTGAACTGGAGGCGCTTCGGGGGCCTCCCGCACCCCTCCCGGCGTGTGGCTCGGGTCCGGGCTCTGAAGTCGGCTTCTGCGCGGACTCCGCGCGGACTCCAGTTGTGACCCGCAAGTCTCCGCCCTCCTCGTTGTCCCCGACCGGGAGAGGAGACGGAGCGACCCGCCGCCCGCCTTGGGACCTGGGGCTGCTCGCGGACGGGCTCGTCCTGTCCCGCTCCCCAGAAGAGAAGCCGAGCCGGAGTCCGCGCCGCGCCGACCTCGGACCTCGAAGAACTACATTTCCCGACATGCCCAGGGCGTGAAGGCGGCGCCTTCCGCTTCCGGACTCCGCCCTCAAGGACTACGACTCCCGGCGTGCTCCGCGGCCAGGGCCCGCGGGCCCGGATCCGGAAGCGGACGCGGCTCACTGCTCCTGTGGCCGAGCGCGGGGAAAAATGGTGAGTTTGAGGCCGAGTGCTGGGGCTTGGGAGTGAGTCGGAGGGGTGGGGTGGGGGGGCAGGGGGGTGGGGCTCCAGGTTCGCTCCGGAACTGGACCTGGGACGTTCGGAACGGCGCCACCTTCGGCCCATCGTACAGATGAGAACGTCGAGGCGCGGCACTTGCTCCCAGCCAAGAAATTGATCACGTCCCTCGTTTAAATGGGAAACTTTCTCCTGTCAACTGAGTCCTCTCTTTGCTCCAGGCCACGGGGACAGACCAGGTGGTGGGATTCGGCCTCGTCGCTGTTAGCCTGATCATCTTCACCTACTACACCGCCTGGGTGATTCTCTTGGTATGTGTGCCAGCCGCTGCCCCGGTCACTTCCTCCCAGCCCTGCATCCCTGACGTGTGAGCAGCCCTCCTGCGCTGGGCCCCGTGGGAGCGGCTTGGCCATCCACAGTCACAGGCATTGGTTGGGTGGTTTGTTGGGGGGCCACACACCCAGTGGTGCTCTGGGATCATTGCTGGTGGTGCTTGGGGCGGGGGGCCCATCTGGGGTGCCCGGGATCGATCTGGGGTCTGCCACGTGCAAGATAGAGCACCCTAGCTTCTTCACTCTCTCTCCAGCCTCAGCATGTCCCGTTTTATGGACGGGACTGAGGGAGAAGCGTCCCGACCCCGCGCCAGGTTCTGACCTGCTTTACCTTAAATATGAGTTCCCGGGCTGGAGCAATAGCACATCGGGGAGAGCATTTGCCTTGCATGCGGCCGACCCGGGTTCAATTCCCAGCATCCCATTGGGTCCCCTGAGCACCGCCGGGGGTAATTCCTGAGTGCAGAGCCAGGAGTAACCCCTGTGTATCGCCGGGTGGGACCCCAAAAAGCAAAAACAAAAAACAAAAAAAAAATGAGTTCCCGCAGGCCACCCTGTGGCCCCAGTGAATCTGGGGTATCAGTGGGGCACTTGAGGGTTTGCTTTTTTTTTCCTTCTTGTGGGCCAACGCGTTTGGTGACTGCCATAGAAGGGTCTTTGGCAGAACCTGGTG